TTGAACATGGGATTTAGTGAAAATTCATATATTTCTGAGTATTATCTTTGTCCTGAGTCCTGGCTCCTCTGGCAGCTATTGTGACTTTTGGTGTCCAGTTATGGTTTCCTAACAATAACTTAAAGGTCATCAAATTTTTACTATTATCTGCTCTTTTTCAATTGGTAAAGTTAAAGTGATTTAGTATTTTGTATGGAAGTCAAAATACTACTTTGGTTACATTTTGCTACCTTTTTTACAATTTTTTTTTCACTTCAGAGCTACTTTTCAATCAAATTGAATGATAAGCATCAATAATGCTTTAAACCCATTATTTTTATTATTATTACTAAACATTATTTTGCTCCTTAAGAAAAAAATAAAGATAATATAAATGTCTGAGGCATGATATGCATTTGCCATGAAAGTAATTATACATTAGTGCAAGTGTTGGGATAGTGTAAAAAGAAATTTTAGAAATAAAAAACCTATTCAATATTTTTGTTTCTAAAATTAATTTTTTTACTATATCCCAACACTGTTTCCCTGTCATTGTGAGTTGTAAGTGATTAAAATTCTTTTTAATGTAATCCAGTCTTTGTAGTCTTTAACTTGAATGTATCTATGAAAATCTTAGTTTTCCTTATATCTAAAATGTTCTCTATATCCTCCAGCTAAAACTATACATTCTTGAAACATGATAGGACCATAAAACATTCTAGGGTGCTGCTATCAGTGATACTGTGACAAGCCATGTAATTATAATTAAATGCTCATCACTGGCCAGAGATATGAAATTTTGGGGGAAAATTGGAAATCTTGGGTTTATGCGTAGGACTGTTATCGTATGAACAATACTAACAGGCCGTTAGTAAGTGCTTACTGATAAACCCTATCTGAGGATGGCCCCCACAAAGGGCCACAACTCCTTATATAATCCTAAAGACATGTATCAAGTTTAAAGTGAATGCCTTCAGTACTTTCAAAGATTAATGTTGCATGTAAACCTTAAACCAGGAATTTTATAAAATTCATATATATAATTATATAGTGTTATCTGATTGGTTAATATCTCGTTTGCACGACTTAATTATCTCGTTCGCACCACATAGTAACTCGTGCCCAAGACTTACTTATCTCGTGAGCAAGACTAAGTAACTCGTGGCCATGATAAAGTATATCTTGCTACTTAATTATCTCGTTCCCACGACGTAGTGACTCGTGGCCACGAAATGGCTTCCGTGTGCACGACTAAGTAATTCGTTCCCACGACATAGTATTTCGTTCGCACCACTTAATTATCTCGTTCCCACGATCTAGTAATTCGTGGCCACGACATAGTATCTCGTGCGCACGAGATAAAAATAAAATCACACAAATGTCATCTCTGTGCCACCGAAGTATTTGTTATTAAGCATGTGCTTTAAAGTTTCGCAGGTGAGGTATGTTGAACAATGGTTCAGTCTTCAATCCCCTATTCAATGATCTCCCCTTATGAGTACAGACGTATGCCAATGGAGTTTATCACTGTGAGGAGTTTGTATAGTCGTTTGCTTTATTTAGAAAATACTCAGTTGCAAAGTTATTTTGACAGTGAATTATATAATCATTTTTCTACAACTTTTTACCCCCCGCCGATGGAATCGGGAGCGGGATATAGTTTTGGCGTTGTCCGTCCGTCCGTCTATCCGTCCGTCCGAATTTCGTTTCCGGAGTAGTTCTCTGCAACTACTGGCTGGAATTCAACGAACTTTATGGGAATCATCAATATCAACAGGAGATGCGCACATCGTCCGCTTGTTCCGGTCAGACCCTTTAACTGAGAGTTATGGCCCTTGATTAGTTATGTAGTATGCATATAGAGTAAAAGTCGTTTCCGGAGTAGTTCTCTGCAACTACTGGCTGGAATTCAACGAAACTTTATGGGAATCATCAATATCAAGAGGAGATGCGCATATCGTCGGCTTGTTCCGGTCAGACACTTTAACTCAGAGTTATGGCCTTTAATTAGTTATGTAGTATGCATATAGAGTAAAAATCGTTTCCGCACTACTTCTCTGCAACTACTGGCTGGAATTCAAAGAAACTTTATGGGAACCTTCAATACCAAGAGAGATGCGCATATCATCGGCTTGTTCCGGCCAGACACTTTAACTCAGAGTTATGGCCCTTGATTAGTTATGCAGTATGCATATGGAGTAAAAATCGTTTCTGCGCTACTTCTCTGCTGCAAGTACTGGCTTGAATTCAACGAAACTTAATGGGAACCTTCAATACCAAGAGGAGATGCGCATAATCGTCGGCTTGTTCCGGTCAGACACTTTAACTCAGAGTTATGGCCCTTGATTAGTTATGCAATATGCATATGGAGTAAAAATCGTTTCCGGAGTAGTTCTATGCTACTACTGGCTGGAATTCAATGAAACTTTATGGGAATCATCAATATCAAGAGGAAATGCGCATATCGTCGGCTTGTTCCGGTCAGACCTTTTAACTCAGAGTTATGGCCCTTGATTAGTCATGTAGTATGAATATAGGGTAAAAATCGTTTCCGCACTACTTCTCTGCAACTACTGGCTGGAATTCAACGAAACTTTATGGGAACCTTCAATACCAAGAGAGATGCGCATATCGTCGGCTTGTTCCGGTCAGACACTTTAACTCAGAGTTATGGCCCTTGATTAGTTATGCAGTATGCATATTGAGTAAAAATCGTTTCTGCGCTACTTTTCTGCAACTACTGGCTGGAATTCAACGAAACTTTATGGGAACTTTTAATACCAAGAGGAGATGCGCATATCGTCGGCTTGTTCCGGTCAGACACTTTAACTCAGAGTTATGGCCCTTGATTAGTTATGCAGTATGCATATGGAGTAAAAATCGTTTCCGCGCTACTTTTCTGCAACTACTGGCTGGAATTCAACGAAACTTTATGGGAACCTTCAATACCCAGAGGAGATGCGCATATCATCGGCTTGTTCCGGTCAGACACTTTAACTCAGAGTTAGGGCCCTTGATTAGTTATGTAGTATGCATACATCTCATTAGCATTTCCAGATTTTACTATTTAACACAAAGTTATGGCTCTGTTATTGCCCTGAATATTTATCAAGTTCAAAGAATATTACTGTTTATGCCATGATTAATATATAAATAAAGCCTTATGTCTTCAGTTGTTGTGTTAATAATAACCAGTACTCGGCGGAGGATATAAATTCAACGAATTTGCTTGTTCATATTTTATTTCATGTCATATTTCATGTATTATTGCAATATTTAAATACATGTACATGTACATTTTTAAACAGATAACATTTCTGCAACTTAAAAGAGTTATTCAGAAACGAAGGCAAGCGTGCATCATGGGTAACTAACGAGTACATCCGTTTACAGTCAACCAATCATTTCGTCGGAATCGCTCGAACAAATCTTTTAAGTACGTGAAATATACATTGTAACAAGAAATAAATAGAAAAAAAATGTTTCTGTGCTGAATACAATGATGCCGATGATGATGATAATGATGATGATATTTTAAAGTAAACAACAATAAAAAATATGAATCGACAAATCCAAATAAAAAATGTTCAATAGCTGATACATTTACATTTAATGTGAATATTTTAATTCCAAAGTTCAAACTTATCTTCCTGCGCCAAATGTGGATGTAATGTTCACTATATATTAATTATTTTAGAATAATAAAATTACATCCCAGTCAATGTATTCTAAATTACAGGAATTAAAAAAGAAAATCATTCGCCGTAATCATGAACTTAGATATTGGTAGCTTTAACTAAAAGGTCAGCAATTTAGGCAAAAATCTAGGACATTGTTTAAGTCACTAGCCATGATAAACTTAGATATTGGTAGCTTTAACTAAAAGGTCAGCAATTTAGGCAAAAATCTAGGACATTGTTTAAGTCACTAGCCATGATAAAGTAGGACTTAGCAGTCGTCGCTTTTTGTTTAGTTTACCACTAAATTGATTATGAACGTCATAATTTAAAAAATTTAAACTACATGTATATACTATGAAAGCTACGTACGCTGAAGTGAAAATGAAAATCTATAGCAAAATATAACTTAAAGAGAAAACAAATGGGAATTTTAATTTGTTATCACAATAAAAAATGCCGGAAAAAGGTAAAAAAAAATAGATGAAAATATTACACTTGCTTTTACCTGTTAACATTCTTTATAAAAAGTTCAAACTTTTCCGACATTTTAAAAAAAATATATAAATAATTTCCAATATTTTTCATTTTACTTTATCGAAGAATGCCATCATGCGTGGTTGTTTTGAACAATAATGTCATTTGGTACCATTTAACAGATCCATTAAAATGAATGCAAAAACTTTTTGAAGCAGCATGCCTCCAGATTCATGCTAATTTTCATGAAAATGTTGAAAATGTATTTAAAAGTAACATATTGTGAATTGAACAAATAAAGTAATTTACACATTGCAAACGGCACTTACAATCCACATAAATTACCAAAACGATATCAAAATATACATAAATACCTATTACTGCGTTAGCAACGCAGTGGAATTATAGTGATTGATCCTGCAAAATCAGTCATTAATCGTACATAACATGTAAAAGATAAATAAAATATTGAATCTTTAAACTTTTCTTAAGATCTTAATATATTTTTCTCAAGATTAAATTTCTTGAAATATTTTGGCTCATCTGGAGGCGTGCAGCCTTAATGCAATAATTTAACACTACTTGGTAAGTGCGTTCATCATGATTTTCGGTTGAATATTAATCAGGCCTAGCGTGATATAATACAATGGCACGATAAGAAACGGACAAATAAAAAAAATCTGAATTTGATGAGTTACAATATTTTCAACCAAGCTAAAACAGCATGATTAGATTTACAGAACAGAAAGTATTTGTTATGATATACATTTGTAAATACAATAGCATCATATTTTGAACCAATTTTATTTCAAGTTCATGCAAAATTGAAAAAATGTCAATCTATATATTAGAACATTGCCTAATTAACTAACTTAGTCCTTAATTGTTTGATGTCCATGGATCCATTTTCGCACTGCTTCTGGTCGATAATCAAATGGTCCAAGTCCCCCTTTGAACACAATTTTTCCATCCAATATAACATACAGTCTTTCTGGTAATGACGCGTATACATCCGCGGACCTATTTTCCATTGACTCTACAACCAGCTCTCCCACAAGTCCTTCGCTCTTTAGAACATTTGCAGACGACATTCTTTCCTCAATAGTACTATGTTGAAGACGGCTAAATTTTTCATGATCTAGTAAAGCCCATTCGTCGAGCGGATGCGCCTCTGCAGTGTAAACAGTGACAAAATCAGCAATCTGAGCAAACTCTTGAACAAGTTTGTTATATTCGGGCAATTTAGCCATAAATGGCAATCAGGAACAGCTACCAAAGTTGACAATTAATGGACGGCCTGATTTTTGAAGGTCAAATAATTTCATTTCCTTGTTTTCTAAAGAGAACAACGTAATGTTCGGAGCATCTGAATTCACTTTGTTCTTACACGCCAAATCCATGCGATTATCACGAAAAATAGTGCGAAATGCCTGGTACCCGAGATTGATAGAAAACCAATCCTCGTAAATAGTTGGATCTATTTTTTTAGCCCTGAAGCCACAACACCGATGAATTAAACGAAGGAAGTGAACAACGCATGTCATTATCATCATCATTAAAAAGATGAAAACCGTTTTTAATGCAGCCACAAAAGTCACAAAGCAAGAAAATGGCGATCTGTTTTCAGGCATGTTGAATTTCGCCGCACCACGATAGTACTAAGTTGAATCGATTATTAAAGAAACAGCATGAATCTCTCTTTTTCCTTTGAAAGATGTTGTGCATGTATCAGCGAAATTAGTGTTCGAAGTTCGCAATGCCAAAAGCTAAATTGTTGTTGTATCCTATTTGAAATCTCAGACACTACTTCAGTTTGCTACTGAGTCATTTTCAACGCAAGAACGTTAAAGAAAACGTTTTTGTCCCGCAAAGGGCTGGCGAATCTAAGTGCTAACCAGGCACGGAATCAGTTTATATATAAGATACCCTTAATAATGCGCATTGTACAGTAGCGCCATTTTGTCCGACTAACCGAATAAACGAAATGTTAATGTTCTATTAAATTGTACTTATTTTTTCATGCGAGTATATTTTCTATGTAATTTCATTTTGCAAACCCGGTTAAAAATCTTTGTGTAGGATAAAGTTATGGTTTTTTTTAGGTATTTGATGAAATGCTGTTAAACTTTTCACACCTATCTTTAAATATCAACGCATCTACACATAAATATGATGATTGTTTCAACGTAAATATGAATATGTAAATTATGTAGGAAATAGGATGTTTCATTCTTATAATAAAAATGCTCGATCCATTGTTTTTATGATGATATTCATATTCAGACAGAAAGTTTAACAAAACTGACAAGAATTACATAAAACTTCAGATTCTTTTGTATGGGGAGTTTGCTTACAAACAATGCTTTATTTAGATCATTTATGTCAGAAAAATATACTATTTTCTGCCATGAATAAATATGAAAATAAAGTAAACAAGGGGTAGAGAACTCCCACACGATAGCTAGCTACAACCAGTGCCTCAAACACAAACTAGCAGACGGTATCTAGCTACAACCAGTGCCTCAAACACAAACTAGCAGACGGTATCTAGCTACAACCAGTGCCTCAAACACAAACTAGCAGACGGTATCTAGCTACAACCAGTGCCTCAAACACAAACTAGCAGACGGTATCTAGCTACAACCAGTGCCTCAAACACAAACTAGCAGACGATATCTATAGAAATGGCAAGAAACAGTCGCACATAGAGCTGCTTTAAAAAAGCAAGGAGACTGGGGTATCAATGAAATAATAAAATTGAAAAAGCAAGGAAAGAAGGCGATGAAGGCTATTTGGAAAATCATTAGAACCAAGATAAGCAAGGCAAAGCCACTTTCACAGAACGCAGGCCCGACAAAACTCATGCAGCCACATAGGATCACCACCAAGACACTCATTGGGATACCGAACTAAAATATTTATAGGAGAGGGCACAAGATATAATGGAAGAGGTGTTCGGGGAAAGAATTTGAAGAAGTGGATAAATAAAGAAAAAAGGAAAAGGGAAACGAATATTTACTGTTGATAAATGATAAGAGGGCAACAAGAATTGTCACCGCATAGGACATGTAACTATAAAAAGTGTCAAACACAGACGGGCGCCGCTTCGGAACAGCCAGTAGCAAATCCACCACTGGGAAGTTTAAACATGTTATAGGTGCACCAAAATATTATAATTTGCCCCCGTATGTTCATAAATAACGAGACAGTGTACATAAAACGATTCCCCGCCAGATGAAATTCTTACAATTGCATGCTTTGGTTACAGAAAGTAAGATAAAAAAAAAAACACAGAAAAGAGTATGTTGGTATATATGGAAGGAAAACCTTTTTACCACAAAAAGAAAAACCAATTCATCAGAACAATAGTTATTAAAGAAAGGCAAATTAAAAGCTAAAAGAAATTCACCGACAAAAGGCCGGACAAAGCAAGGCAGAAGACGAAACTTAAGGCAATTCAGTCCTAGGGCTTTAAACACAGTCCATTATAGTCTTACACTTGTCTATTCAGTGCAAGACATTGTAGATAAAACAGTCAAGGAAAACGCGACTTTCATTTTAAATGTTATCAAAATCACAGAATGAATATATTCTTTTTAATTATCTTATGCTCTCGTAATGACCTGTTTCCATACTTAGAGGAACGACAACACAACAGCGAAATTTGATAAACCAAAAAGAATAGGAAGGCTACAATAAGGATACATTATAACAATTATACTGATTTAAGGATTTTGAAAACGCGCGTTCGTATATGCTTTAACCCAAAAATGAAATTAGAAATATCTATAGAAAAAAAAAGTTAAATATATTTAGAATTAACTCCCCTACAAATATCCATGTTCATTTGTATCGAAATGTTTTCTAAATTTAAAGCAAATTAAGTGTTTGTTCCTGTAAAGTCGGTTTATAATTATATTCATGCTCTTCAGTTCTTGAAGTTTGGAACATTTCTAAAACATCGAGGAAATGATAAATATTTAGTCGGACAATGCGCAAACGTCGGACAGTGTGGCAAGTAGATATTTAATTTATCGGAACATGACTTTTATATATGAACACCCGGTTAAAACGTGAACGATATAATTGTCGGTTAATACAGTAAAGAGTTAAAAAGTATACAGTGTGGCAGAGTAACCGGAATTTTGATCTTTCATTAAAATAAAGAAAGCAGAGAGCGTATAAAATGTTGGTCATTTAAAAAGACGGTAATTAAGTGAGTTAACTGATAAGCCATAAAAAATAAAGTGACTAAATGTACTTTCATGTGATTCTAAAAATATTTTTGACCGAAATAAACTCATGGGAATCGTTGATTTAAACCAATCATTTATTATTATTTTCCGAACTTTTAAAACGCTTTCTTGAAACCGCCTTATTGCATGTTTCTTAAATGTACCGTTGAATAAAAATCCATTTTACAATATGTAAAATGCATGTAATTTGCACATATCAACTCATCTATTCACATATAATTATTACGAATATCGTGATTAAAGAGCATTCAGAACTAAAACATGACCATGTAGAAATCCTTCATTATTTCATATTACAAAATATAACGATGCAAAAATGGTCTTTTCAACATACAAAACAGTGTGCATGTTTTATAGTATGTATGCATTATTCATGCTTTAATCAGAAATATGAATCTTACACTTAACATAAATAAAAATACCATATTGTCTGTAATCTGTGCACGAAAGAGCATCTCGTAGGAGGTCAAATGTCAAATAAGTGTAGATATGTACTATTTTTATAAATTTGCAACCTCATCGCATTTAAAATTTGAGCTTTTTGAACGGATAACATATTTCACCCTATAAAACAAACACGTGACAGAGTTGGGAGCCAGAATAAAAATGCCCGTTATTGATTTGGGCCAGAAATATTTTTAAAAAAAAAAGAGAGAACATACAACAGAGAAAACATTATAATTCCAGGAAGCTGAAAAGTCTATCGCAAAATGAGAATGTGTATAGATTATAATGGATTAAGTAAATTTATGTGTGAACTTACAATGAAAACAGGTAGGTTGCGATTTTCTTGGCCTTATCAATCACTCCCGACACTCGCCAAGCCATTTGAAGGACGGAAACTTACACTCGCCACCCAGTTTTCCCATGTAACATTGAATAAATTAATGTATACTATTTATCGAATTTGACCATTTAAAATGTCTTTTTATAACATCCATTTAGTCAAATATTGCGTTATTCAAACTAATATAGCGTTTGTTTTCTGGTTTACTTTGTTAAAGGCATTTTCTGGGAAAATGTATAAACTTCTTCCCGAGTTTTTCTAATTATTAAAAAAAAATACTTCACTATGCATAACAAAATCAGTCCATTTCCGCCCCTAAGAGGAAAAGTATGGTTTTATAAGTGAAATTAAAGATCAAATATGATTTTATTAATATGATTTTGCTTCACTTGATGAGATTTAAATAAATGTAAAAAAAAAGTCTAAACGTCATGCACATTCACCTTAACGTGACCCTTAACAGGTTCAGAATTTCGATACAGTTTTCTACCTAATAAAGAATTGTAACACGGTCAGCAAATTCATAATATCGGATACTCGGTTAGATCCTACGTACATTTCCTTGTTCATTTTTACCTTAATACAGTCAAAATTTGTAATGCGGTTTAAAAGCTGTATTTATGGTGTGTATTGCAAAAATAACGCCGAATGTGTCCGACATAATTCTAAAACACGGTTAGTCGGTTTCAAGTTTTTAAATATTCAGCAAAATTTTTATTGAATGTACTCATTCAGCCCAATATCGGTGACCGATAAAAATTACTTCCATCCAATCAGAAATCGAATTTTCCTTTTAGTGTTTAACATGAGTGAATATATGGGCATACTTAATGATATAATGTATAATCATAGCTTTTACCCGATTTATTTGCTTTATCATTTTGCATTTTTCCCTTACCGGTTTAAAGCTACAATATATTACAAGAATAGAAACTTAAGAATTTTTATTCAGACCGGAGTGTGCGTACGTAACGTCTCAGTCATGAATATTTACTTCAACAAATAAAATAAAATTTGGTGGGATTTAGAATGATGACAAACATTTCGAAAGAAAAGGATAACCTATAAGTTAAAAAGCTGAAATTTTCAACTAAATTAGGTCTGCATCAAACATGTAATAATTTAATAGTGTTATTAATTAACAACAAATTCAAATTATCGCATGGTTTAGAAGCCCCCCCCCGGACGAAAGCCCCCCTCCCCCATTTAAACCCCCCC